CCCTTCCATTTCACCATTGTCAATGGTGCTGGAGGAACACCTAGTAATTACAGTCATTACTAATGGTGAAGGGGTAAACCAATGAAGCGACAGCCCTCCCTAAGCGAGGAAAACTTGAGGTCCTCATCGATAGAAACAGACGAGTGGACGCCTGCGTAATCATCGGACTTTTTGATGACGAGGACGGGGCCGTGATTGCATTAGCACCGCTTGGCCTCATTATTTACTATCGGGGACGGCAAGATTTGCTTTTCGTATTATTTCGCCATGAAAAAATGTTTAAAATTTGGATATTTAGGATTTAAATATAGGAATGTAGAGAAATTTTCAAAGCTCTTCAAATTCCGTTTTCGCCCCTCAAAATATATTGAAAAAAGAAATACAGTATGTTCCACTCAAGTTTTGTTCCTAATTTGATTGCCCCGGTAGCTATTATTATATTGATTTAACTTTTTTTCCGGTTTTTGTTTCATTTATGAACGTTTCAATTCTAGGATGTCATCGTGAGAACGAGGATACAGAAGAATTCATGAAGATGCCACGGCCGTCACCATCTGCAACCAATTAACTCAAAACACCGATAGAAACTCCGCAGAGGCGAATGCACGCAGCATCGAGGCTGGCCCTCACGCTGGCGTGAGCTGGACGCAGTCGGGGCGGGACCGGTCGGGGACCTCGAGGCGCGGTGGTCTCCCCTCCGACATGGACTCCATCACTTCCAGGCCGATCCTCTCCATCTCCCTCAGCACGAAGGAACTCTCCCTGTGTCATCCCCGAGACGTTCAAGAATATTCTCGCGCTTTACGGACTCCCCGATGACGATTCGAGTTGAAAGACGAGTTCGGAAAAAATATAAGAGAAATCTGACCTCATGATCCAGGAGCCCAGCGCGCCATTCCAAAATCTGCGTACGGACGGAAGCAGCGGCCGATTCTCAATTCTGTGGGGATTCGCTGGTAGTTCTCGTCACTGTTGTCTCTGCAAATATGAATGTAGGAAGTGGTGAGAAAACACGGAATCATGTGCTGAAATCCGTACTTTGTAGTATCAAAGACTGCCCAAAAATCCAAGTACCAGAAGGAGTTGATTGATGAAATCAGGAACTTCTAAGGGTGTGTGAAAAGAAATCGAATTTCGTCGAGCAAAGTTTCAATGTCACATGATGAGGTGAAAGAGAAGAAAACTTGACGAACGGGCGAGGGAAAGGGGGGGAGGGGAAGGAGGAACTGGAAACGCCTTTTCCCTTTTCGTTTTCTCGCGAGCTACGTCGCAGTTGCGCCGCTCTGTGAATCCATGACGAGACATTTCCTATGGCAATTTCGTCAACTTGTTCGAGCGTTCCGCTAAGGTCTGTTGCTTGGAATGCATTCAAAGCATATGCTTTTGGGATGATCCCAAGCTGCGATGATGCATGACCTAAATCAATAACCAGGTTTACACCGGCATCCTAATCGACAGATATCCATAAGACATTCGAACAAATCGGCGAAATCGTCTTCAGAAAACATCATCTCGGCATGAATTCCTCGCGCAAATCACTTCATTTTGGAGGCAAGAAAACAGGGTTCGCCAAATCATCATTGGATCAGTGTGAATCACCAGTACTACTAGTATTTTTTTTTTAAAGGTAATTTAGTCGCAGGAAAAAGTAATTCCGTATAGTTACAGCTAGGAAGCTGTAACGAAGCCGTAACTGAGAAAAGCAGCTCATTTCTTTCCCATTCTCCGGCATTTTTCTCGACGAAACGTAATGAATTCTGCTGCTGGGATCATAGGCCTGAGAGAGGGCGCAGTCCCCTCAAGTCAAATTAAGCTTCACCTAACGCCGGGGCGTGCATTCTCATCAGATGACAAGACGATGACGTGACGATGGCGTAACGATGGCCAGGGTCGTAAATAAGGGGGGGCACCTGCCCCGGGCGCCACCTAAGGAAGGGGGCGATGCAAGCGAAAGGCGAATGAGGCACAGGAAGAAAAAAGTGTTCCGCAGTGAAAATAAAATCAAGCAGCAAAGAAAGTGGATTTTGATCATGTCATTGACATCTTTGCGTTTCGCAAAGCAAAGAAAGCCGTGCTATAATTATAGGGGTTTAGGGAAAAAGCCACCCGGAAATAAGATCCAAGATTTGGCAAAGGCAGAAAAATGTCATCCCGTTAAGTTCGGGTCAGATTAAAGACTCATTCATTTTTAGGACATTTAGTGATATTGATGTCATGTAATATGATCAACTTCACTGAAATATTCTGAAAAAATAAAACAAAGTCCAACTTCAGCCCATTCCTTAAAAATGAATAGTATGGCCAACCCCCAACCAGGAAATCTTTTGATTGTGGCCGTGTTGCAGGATGAGGTGATTCCACTCTCTGAACGCTTCTTGGAATTTTTTCTCAAATAACAATTGCTCTGGGGTCATGTAAGGTTTTTAATTTTATCTCCCTCCTATCCACTTTCACACCTTTTTCCGGGGAGTGGAGAGGATCAGAATTAGTTCCCCTCCTCAATCCCCCCCCCCCTCCGAAGTCTGTACAAGCATTGCATTGAGACGAGTCCATGTTCATGGCTGAACAGGGTCCTTCTTCCCTTCATAATGAAAGTAGGAAAATAATTTTTTAAATATAGATTTAACCCTTTCGTGCATGGATTTTTAAAGCAAAATAAAAATATGCCCTTTATGGTTTAATGTTTTAGGAGGTACTCTGCCGTAGTCGAATGTTCTACTGCTAGAAAGAGACACTGAACAGATTATGTGTCCTTGAGTTGACTGCACACACCAAAAGTTTCGAGGTATGAGTACCATAGCTGAAAACTTATAATTGTCGCCAAAAATTTTGCCGTCCGCTACAGTGGACACCATCCACGAAAGGGTTAAAGAAGTGCTTCCAATCGAGCGATGCTTTGCATCTTCCATCGTTCTATTCTAAATGGAAACGAATCAATGATATTTTACTTGAATAATTGATGGAAATTCACCCTAAAATATTAAAAACATGGATTATTATGAGCCACATCCCTACGTGAATGTGTCTCAACATCGCCAAGTGAATGTCTTTAATTATCTGATATGTATAAATATAGAGAAATGAATCATTACGAAGCAACCACCCGGGTGGCTTTTTTCAGCTTTTGTCAATTCTGTTTTTTTTTTTCTTTTCCAGGTGGCTTTTTTCCGAACCCCAATTATAGAGGGCGACTCGCGAGCGTGTCAATGAATACTCTTGGGATACTCGAGAGCTCATGACTATTCCGTATACTTGAGTTAAAAAAAAGCCAACTTGGCTTTGCCATTCAGATTCACTTAAAGGGAGGGCGTTCAAACTTAGACGTGGATACGCAGGTACTAGTTCAAGGAGGACTGGCAGGTACAAGTCAGGCACTTCAGGGTACAAGTCAGGGAAAACGCCAGGGAGGGGGGGGGGGGGGCGCCACATGGGGTATTTACGGCCCTGTGCCCACTGCATCACACAAAGTACACACCCTCGCGTCGAATCGTGTAAGCAGTTGCAGGTAACGCTCCCCAGCGACGCCGCTATAGATGTCTCTTTTGGAAAGCGAAAAGGCATTAGGCTGGAAACATCGTTAGGATGATTCATGAAGATCGCAAGTCGTCCGGTTGGGGACATCCCGGGGGTGATCAAGTGCTGAGTGTACACATAAATACGTCGGAATTACTTTAATCCTTTTTCAAGTCTGATAATTTAAGAGCGGAACGACGAATGGCCAAGTCGGCGTTCGTCTGAAGTAATCCCACTGATAAGCATGCTTTTAATGTCCTCTTTCCAACATCTACCTGGTACTTGATGCCAAGTAACAAGACTCTCGAAACACTAGGCTCGACAGCAAACTAAGCTCCGGCGAGATGGGAAAGCAGCCTTTATGCGTTAATTTCGGTCTCTTTCTAGGATACGTTGCTCCATCCAATTTATGATAAAAATGTCTCTCTTTTCCTTCTTTAACTGTCGTCTTTCCCTAATCCTCGCTGTGATGTTAGAAATAGCAATTTTTTTAAATTGTCCAGTTAAACTTGGGAGTACTCCAGATATCCAAGAATCTCGAACAGATAATCGTACCAAAATCTCAAAGAATTGTACAAAATACGAATTTGCCATAAAATCGCGTCTCGATGCATGTGGAAGTTAACGCAGCTGGTCATAGTAGAAAATATAAATTATGTGCAAATGGTTCACTTCATGAATATCATCTGCACCACAGACAAAGGAAGTAGCAAGGTCTTCTGCTCATTGTCAGCCACAAATGGATCAGAAGTGCATGACAAATGACAAGACAGAAGGTGCAGTACTTTTCGATGAAAGTTGGAAAGAAAGAGAGGAAGGTGGCACCATTGCCCAGCACGATACCAAACATGGATCATCACATTTAATGAACACTTGGCATAAATCAAATGATAGTGGTGCGCTGAACTACAAGCAACATATGTTATACTCAATATATGTCATATTCTTATATGATATCACAACCTTCTGGTACCAAGGAAAAAGATAGGAGGGTGGGGGAGAAGAATGAAAGGTATCTAGTAAGGGCCAAAACAGACCTATGCTCCAAATCCAGTACACAGTCATATTAGGCATGAGTAGCAGATGCAAAGAACTGCCCATTATAATCTTTATTACCAAACCTGCACAAGAAAAAAAAAAAGTGATCCTATGACACCTCTGAATGCACAAAAAAAGTGTGACTGGAAAGCTTTTAAGCCTCTTGCAAAGCACACAACACACACATACCAAGCACTCACCAATACTAACCCAAAGGAGAGAAGCAAGGAATGGACAATAACACAAATGAATCACAGGCTAATTTCTGATACTGGACAAGGAATGATTGTGAGGAAGGGGAGGACCTCCGAAAGACAATGTTCTGGGCCGGGGTATTCATATCACAAGGAACTGACAAAAATTTTATTCTGATGCATCCTCATCAGGAAACACCAAGCATGAGAGGCTCAGGGGAGGCATCAGTTGTTGTTCTCTTCATCGTCTTCATCTTCGGCCAAGGCATAGTCAGATACCTCAGACAGGAGACGAAGAGCAATGTTGGCCTTGTTCGTGATGCGATGGTATGGACCAAGGAGACCAGCAATGCTGTGAATCACCTGTGAGATTTGACTGCATCTCTGCTTCACCGTCTGGAGGTAGAGCTTCGTTTCCACCATCTCCATCTGGAGTCGTACCAGCTCCTCCAATTCCTTCACCAGCTGACTCTTCACACTCTCGATGCTCACTCCCTCAGACGCAACCTAAATGCAAAGCTATTTGCGTTCAGCCATGCAGGAGTGTTTGAGGCCTCTGCGAATTTATTGCTGTGATGCAAACATAGCACCTAGTATAAAGGAAACATGACTAAATTCATGGAGGTGTGTCAGTATAGACAGGTGATGAATTCTAAAGGATCCACACAAAGAGGCATCCAGTGGGAATGAATAGGCCTCCTTCATATAGTATTTCCTGCTTATACCTGTATGTAACTTTCAAAATTTTAATTTGTGAAGAACAATATATTGAGAGCAGGAAGATAGCAAAAAGACTCCCAAGTTATTTTACTCTCTTGATATCATGAGCTTTGCATCAAAAATCAGTCATTCCCAAGCTGACATTAACAGAAGCAAATGAGACACACTGACAGACACCATTCTGGCTCACTGCATAAGCAGTCCATATTTTTTCTCAAACAATTATGGTTGGAACCTGAAACAAAATAAAGAAGATACCTCATGTTCAATGGCCTTGTCAGCCAGTTCCATTCTCATGCGGAGCTGCTGAGCATGACGTTTGAGTCGTTGGTCTGATGAGATACTGCATTCCCTCTGCAGTTCACTCTCCAAATGGTCCCTTGTCTCAGTCCAATCACAGAGGAGATTATCTAAGCGGTCCTGGTAGCTCTGAAATGGAGATCAATTTTGTGCCCTTGCCTTAGATAATTAGTCCACTATGGACAGCAGTCACAATCAATCATGTTTGAGACTAAGGAGGTTATTCAAGGCAAGGGCACAGTTCAACTGTGATGATGTTGCAAATGTGGCAAACTGTAATTGATGAGGGGCTCATGTGCACAACTGTAAGACTTCATTCAATTTCTCAATGAAAAACTAGAATAAGCCTATACATGGATCAATGCTGTTGTAGATAATGAGCAAAGCAATAAATAATTTAGACTCAGACCATAGTTTGATCATCCAAATAGTACTGTGATTGCTCTGCTCATGAAGGAAAGAAGGAAGTGATATGGCTTGAAGAATGGTGAAACTTCCAAGTTCAGAATTTTTCCTTTTGGTAAGTGAGAGAGAGGATGTTTTCATTGAATTGCAACTTTCAGGGTATCTTCTCAAGCCACTTCCTTTTACAAGTACAAGCCTTTAACAATGACGAAACTAAGATGCAGAAGCAAAAGCCTATCATTTTGATGTACTTTTCCTCATTACAGAAGATGCACAGTTCCTCAAACATCTATCTTGTATCTTGCCAATGGATCAGGGGAATATGGCAGCCAATTTATCTGTCTCCTCCAGATTAGTTTCTTTGGGGATACTTGAAGGGGAGAATGCATGCCAATAACCCTAAAACCCTTGGAGAATTGAAAGAACATTTGGAGAGAGATCAGGTGAATTTATTTTGGGAGAAATGTTAGATGGGGTTATTGATAACTTCAATGTCCAGGTCACAGCAGTGATCCAGCACAGAGGTGCCTGGATCAAACATGCGATAAGATATTGAAATTGAGTGTGCAGTATGTATCATGCTGTTTTAAGAAATAAAATTCTAGATTTTTTTTTTTACATTCCAGTAAATGAATTATTGTAATATCTTGAAAATGATCATTTTCAAGGATATTCAAAATGGGGGACTTTTTCTTGGGTCACCCTGTATATCTCATACACAAACCATGTGAGGGCATGAAACTTTCATCAAAGAAATAGAATGAAATCTTTGTCTATGCGTGCAGGCCCAAAGTAATAATCAAATAAATTACAGACCTTGGCTAGTTGTCTGACTCTATGAGGGTCAAGGGCCTGAACCTCGTCAAAATCTGCTGTTTCAATGAGGAGATTCTTCAGCACCTCTTCTCTGCTGGGATCATCATGGTTGCAGTCAAGGAAAAACACTGGGACGGATCTCTCTATCCTGAACTCCTTCCTGCATCAAACACCATCCTAACATTTACAAGACATGAAGAAGTGACCATCTTCAAATTGAAAAATATATATTTATGGCCTTGGAACATTGGGGACTCAAAGTACCTAGGCAAGTTTATGAAGGAGAAAAACCTGCAAGATTTGATTCCTTAGAAATCTTTCTCCTATGCATTCTCCATGAATATTGAAGGAATCAGTGAGAGTTACACAACATGTGCTTGGTTGTTTAACAAACATCATTTTTGTAATGCAGGCAGGAGAGAGATCCTTGAGAGATCCAAAGTCTCAGTTCTACTTTCCTTTGGATGAAAAAATGGTAAAAGATGCCCATGATGGTTGCCTGACACCAAGGCCACCCAGAGAAGGGGGGGGGGGGGGGGGGGGGGGGGGGGGAAAAACACCAAGGCCACCCAGAGAAGGGGGGGGGGGGGGGGGGGCAAGGGGGGCAATCTACCCTGGGCTTCACATGCCAAGGAGTCCTCAAAGGATTTTGCAGTTTAGTTTTGCCCTGGGCCCCTGGAAATCTCTCGGCAGCCCTGCCTGACACTAACTCCAATATCAAAAGATACTTATAGGCCTACTCACTGAATTCAAAACAATATTAAATGATCATAAACGGTCAAGTGTTGTATAACACTGTTCAATAATTGGAATTGAAGGGAGGAAGGAGGAACAAGATGAGCACAGCCCTAGACTAGACAATCCAGGTGAAAACTTGCCCCTGGAGTGCAAGGGAGCAACAAGGAAGAAAAATCCTGTCAGGCTATTTTAATAGTAGTTCTCATCATATCATGACCCTGTAATTCATTTTCAGTCAACAAAGGATGGGAAGGTTATAGTAGCTTCCCATTTCAAATCTGTGAGAAGGGATATTTTTTTGGTCTACTTACTTCAGTGTAAACTTATATAACATGTTGCTTGCAGATGCATGCATGCATGCCTTCATTTCTATCATGATAGTGATAGGATGGCCTAGACATTTCACTAGGTGCATGCATCTGGAGATGCACATATGCAGTATTGCACAATTACTTTTGTCAAGTTCTCCCTCTCAGCTGTCTGCCTGTGGAGTGGGTAAAGGAAGGGAGTAAAATGCATAACCCCAGCCACCTCATGCATTTCACCAAGGCTATCTGGCAAAAGTGTTGGGTATTCTAGTCCTACTGCCTCAACAAGTAGCCATGCTCATTAAATAACTAAATTTAGAAAATATCCTGCTAAAAAATTGTCAATATCTCAGCATGAAAGGATAGGGCAATACCCTTCTCTTCATCAAGGATGATAATACTATCATCAGAAATGACAATAGTCATAATATTTAATACTCATGGCAAAAAGATAATCCCCAGAGGAAATCCCATGGGGAATATTTCAAACTGCTCAAATATTGCTTTGACAGAATTTTTTTATTTCTTGCCCACAAGCACGGGTGCTGCTGGATTGCTATAAATAGTCACAACTCAAATTGCAAGAGATAGCTCAAATTAAAAGGACTTGAAACTTTTCACCTGACAAGTTTACAGCAGAGAGCCACACTATATGTAAGCCATTCAAATGGATGGTCCATTTGAATGGTTGACCACCAAGATGGGTGGTCAAAGACAAGCTGAAGGATAAAAATACAGGGTGGGCCAGAGAAGACTGATATAAATTAATTACATATAAAATTGGTTTATTATTTTTGGTGCTAGTATCTGACTTAATGCCATAAATACAAGCATGTGAAATCTTAAATACATTAACCAAAATATCTCACTTTACTCAATAAGCAATTATTTCTTCAGTTTTTGAACTACTTGAATTTTATACAGAAACATGCCAAAATCTTCCACAGGCATTCTTCAGATGCACATCCTGCTCAGCTGCAGGGCTTGAGCCAGTTTTTTGTGTGGAGTCCCATGGACTACCCTGGGTTGCTGCACTCACTACTCTCACATTTTCTGGAGTCCAGAATGTTGGGGGACATCCTGGCCTTGCTAAATTCTGCTCACATGCAGTAACTCTGAATCATTGGACACATTCCAATATCGTGTTGTGCGATGGTTATCTCTTTATGCAAAAAATTCATCAGAAACTGTGTAGAGCCTTCGCTACTGAACCAGATTTGAAACGAAGCTCCAGAATTCTTGCCTGATCCACATTCGACCATTCCATGGTGGCAATCAATTCTCTGCACTATGCTTATCAAACCTAAAGCCAAAATAATAAAAAAGAATTCATAAACATGGAATTTTACATGCATTTACTTTGTGTCAGTCTTCTTTGACCTACCCTGTATAAGTATTCAGATTTTAATAATATTTTACTGTCAAATCCACTTGGATCCATAATGATGATCCTACAATATTTCACTTGCATCTTCACAGATTCTATAAATACTCTTTGAGTCCCTAATTCCATGTATTTGGACAAACTTCTAAGAGCTTTCAGCAGTGTTCTGTAGCATTTTTACAGCTTTGCAGCTTTTCATTTTAATACATATGGTCTTGTGTTTACATGTGAATGTTTTAATTAAACTTGAGTGAACATTCAGCACCAGAGAATTGGTAACACTACACGGTATCAAGAGTTTACAGAGCCAGGTATCAGCAGTGACACTTATGCTGCAAGTGAATCTGAATCTTTCATTTTATACTGACAATGATGAGATATTCAGCTGGACAAAAAAAAGGGGTTATAAATTTTTAATTAACCAATTTTGGTCACATATGCATGCAATGCCAGCACAGATTTATTTTAAATTGCCTTGTTTGAGTGATTTTGTTACATGGGGTCTTGGGTTGAGGCAAAATGACAAATTTTCATGAATGAATGCAATGTTTGGTGAAATATTTCAGGCATGAACTTTATGATCAAAATTCTGTTCTGACATTGCAATCACATATTGGAAATCTAGGTTTTCATTCAGTAACAAGAAGGTAATTTTTACTGTCTGTAGAAACATTGAAATAAAAAAACTTACATAAAATGGAGTTCTGTGGGAGCTTTGAAGAAAGTAATCCTGCTTCTTAAATTTGCCCTGAGTTCCCAAAAAAATTTACTGATTCTTTGGATAGTAAGGAACATCATTATAGTATTAAGTCAATAATACCCCTTGGACAAGTTCCCCCAGCCTCCCCCTTCCCCTTTAGGCAATAATTCAACATCCACTCTGGACTTTCCATATGGGCTTGACTCATAATGTACCATCTGAGCTTTAGGTTTCCAGAGTCCTCATGTTATGATTTTCAAAAAGGAAAGAGACAGACTGGATGGGCAGAACGACATCTCCCTGGTGCCTTTCCCGCGTAACGCCATTACGTCTCCGCTTCTCAATGGAGGTACTGTCCAAAGGCCAATTAGTGAACACAATCATAAGATGATTCAGTGCCTCAAGCCCATACAGACCCCTCACCATGTTCAGCAGGTCCCACACTCCCTACAGAAATAAATTGTTGAGGAGCCTGCATCAAAACTAAAGCAAATCAAAATCAGATAGGTTGAGGTATTTGGCACCAAACCTGAGTCATTCGAGCATTCACAGAGTCCATGACAAGAACAAAGACATTGACACGTTGAAGTTCACCCATATCCCTGACAAATCGGTCAGCTTGAGATGGTCGATCACGTAAAACGTCCAAGCACGGTGTGTCAACCACCCGGAACCCTCGACCTCGAGGGGCCTAAAATGACAAAAATATTCTTGTAATCTCCTAGTGTTTTTTCCTATTGAAACTCAAATACAGTCGACTCTAGTCATACCACCACTCGATATAATGCCACCATCGCCTACCGCCAACCTTTTCTTGTCGTCATATATCCCCATAGGCCTATATAACACAGGATATAGATAATTTGATATAGCACCACCCTTGTTATAGTGCCAAAATCAACAATGACCAACAGTGGCACTATATCAAGGGTTGACAACAATAAAAAGCAAAATGTGAAATTTTTCATCCAAAGAATGCTGCAGCCTGAAAGCCCTATGAAAGGGTAATTGCCTTAATTCATATAAAGATCTCTGGTGATTTACATCCATTCACTGTGGAAAAGAGATGGGTGTTCTGGTTTGATGCTAACAGCCAAACCATAATAGCTTCTTGATCAGGATGCAGAAAAGTTTTCTGTGAACTTGTGCTAGCAGCAAGGCATAAGCAACTGCATTACCAATAAATTCCTCCTTCTAACTGACATTCATCACCCTTTTCCCTTTCTCTCTCACAGACAGATCACCATCTAACCTGCTCACCCGCTTTTCAATAAGATCACCCTCACTCCACTTAGCTCACCTGCCTCCCTCTCTCTCTCTCAAGTCACTCTTCAACTTTCTCCTTCCCCCACCCTTCACTCGATGGAAAACCACTAAAGATGCACCGATATTTTATCCATCATCGAGCGATACCGATACTAGATATGCGTTTCCATAACCGATATGGCTGACTGGGGTCCAGGATCAGGAAGGAGTCAGCTTTACGTTGGTTCTACCCTTTTTTTTTTTTTTAAAGCAGTGTGTCTTCTCTGTTTTGTCTTTTACATTCCTTCACTCCCTGTATCCATGCGGATCCCGGTTGGCAGAAAGACAATAGTTTTGTGGGCTTTTTCCGTCTATATCGCGTGGTAACGCAGCTTCAAGATAAAACAAATAAGACTTGCTAATAATATCTACCCTCTCTTCCTTCGTCAAGCGATTCCGTTCCCATATACAGGCTCCATCACACGCAATGATTTTGCTCATATACGACTGCTCCCATATGAGCTATGAGCTCGTGTAAGCAGGGTCTATGAGGTGGTATCCCACTCATGTGAGTCTATGAGCTGCTCATAGGCCCTGATTACACGAGCTCATAGCTCATATGGGAGCAGCCATATATGAGCAAAATCGTAGCGTGTGATGGGGCCTTAATACAGAGGGGTGTCTATAATATGAATACCTTCTAGGTAGAGGCCGACACAAAATCCTACGACATAACGGTGCTCAGAAATTCGGAGGTCGTTGTGTCAAAAACTTCTTTCGTCCGATATAATGCGTACGAGACTCCATCCAGAAAAAAAACTGAAGGACAGAGGATTCTATTTAGAGTATCTCTTTCAAGGTCAAGTCATGATAGTGAACACTAAAAAAAAAAAAAAAAAAAAAACCAGTCCGTCATTTCTCATTTAAAAAAAAAAAAGGGTTGGAGGAAGGGCCTAGAGCTTTGACAATGAGCAATATGAATGTCTACGGGGACCACGCATGGATGGGCGGTCATCTCAGGCCTTTAGTTATTTTCTTTTTAATAATAGGGGCTTTATGGAGGTTTTCCCGCTGGCACTAGGCTGTAACGATACATCGGCGTCATTTAAGGCATCGCAATGCAAAAACAGACAAAAGTTCAATAAGGAATACTTGCAGTAGCGTAAGTGATAATGGGTCACCGCACCGCTCGAAAATTAGAGTTAAAAAAAAAACGTAAACGAGGAAGAACAGCAGCGATAACGAGACGACAGAAGCCACTCCGACGATCACTTATTACTTTTTTACTCCTCCATCTGGCTGTGATGTCTTCCAGCCCCTCCTTCCACAAGATCTGGCAGCATAGAGACCAGATAGTGAAGGGCACCCTGCATGCTTGCTTTCAAGGCAACTTCGGTTCATCTTTCTTCGCATTATTCATAGTTCATGACTATTTTTTCGATGACCCGAAGCCATTGATAGTTCAGATCGATGCAAGGTCACCCTACACCATCCCCATTCATCCTCCTCCCCCCTTCCCCTCATCTTTTATTCATCCAAAGCATTACGTCAATATCCAGATTTGTCCCACTGTGCGAAAAACNCCCTCATCTTTTATTCATCCAAAGCATTACGTCAATATCCAGATTTGTCCCACTGTGCGAAAAACTTCCCCCATTTCTCTCCGATTTTAAAACTTAATTTTAGTCGACGCATTAATTTCTTTTGTCAACAGACAGAATGTCTTCTGACCGTACATCATTCCCCAGAAATACGCGAGTCAATCACACCCAATGATAGCCTTTATCTCATTACCCACCAACAATTTTTTTTCATCTTCTCAGATGGTGGATGCATCCGATTGCATCCACAGACTAAACGAGAGCCAAAATGAATCTTTAAAACACTATTTGATAAATCCTGGGCTGTTTAAGTCAAGTGAACTATTTTTTTCATTAAATGCTAAGCAGCTCAATTTCCTAAGTATGTCACCATACAATCAAAGACGTGGTAAGATGCATCATATACACTCAGGGCCTAGGGCAAACCCCCCACCCCAGAAATTTCCTGGTATCCCGGCGGGCTAGTCCGACGCTGTATATACTTAGTAATCACCTGACCCTGACCATCCGATTTGCAGTTTCATGCGCCTCAAAGATGCTCAAATTCATTGAAAATTACATCACCAGCCAAGATAAGGGAGACATGGGGATTTAGCCATGCCTGTAAATCAATTGGGTTATATTTTACATTTATTTTAAACTCAATAATCAAATCTGGAGTTCTAGAAGAAACCACTGATAAAAAAATTCAGTGAATCTTGAAAGCTGTAGATTTCCATAGCAGGATTAATCCTCAAATAAAGTTTGTTTTTTCCTATTGGTTTTCATTGATGGGTTCGTCAAATTCACCCAAAATGACAAAAATGCAGTTGCACTAACATCTCAGATCTCCATTGAGTTTATTATCCCCCAAAGGAATTGGTGAAAGATCACCTCAACCAAAGTTTCAGATATCCCAATTATTAGAATTTATCAAGAAAATCGTTAATTTGATGATCATGAAAAAACACCTGAACTTTGATTGGCCATAGCTTTCAAGTTTCAATGGAACTTGTCTGAGGCCCACTTAGGAATCCCACTAGATATGAGGCATTCTTGATAGTCTTTTCTCCCTGCCAGGCCAAGGGAATTGATAGAGCTTTGGAACATGCAGATGAACTGGACTACATCAGTGTTCAAGTCTTTATTCTTGGGAGATAGAATAAATATTTCCTTACAGCTAGTATTAGATTTGGCACAAAACAACAAACTTCACAAGTGTTATTCTCTTAGAGCTGATATCATCCAAAACCAGTGAAACATTTCAAGAATTTATTCAACAAAATTTAAGCAGAAATTGCACAAGTTGCAAAATAAAATGTGGAAATCAGTAGCCAACATCTGCTCTTCAATATTGATCTATCACTCAATATAATTATTAGGCAAGTTCAATATTGTTGGATCTCTTAAAATCACCTCAGGAGTGCTCAAGTCCTGCCACTTGACAAGTTTCAAGGGCTTAAAGTATTTCTTCAAATCGCAAGTAACAGTATTACTCAATACAATTCTCTTGTAAAAATTTCAATGAGAAAATTGTCATTTGGCGAGGAGAAAATTTTGAGGTTAATGACTCTGTTGACTAGCTCTGAAGAGCTAGACAATCAGGGTATCTGACAATTTCACCTAAAACTTACTGTGAAGCATCACTATGTGAAAATACAATGTCTGATCCAAGGGAAGCTACCAACTGACAAGACCTTCAGAGTGCACCCCTCATACAGAGATGCAAAATGTGTCAATGTACTGATGGACCTTCCAGAAGTACAGGGTGACAAAGTCTGTGGACACATATTTTTGTACTTTTCTCTGGGTAGTTTGAAGCAAATGGATTTCTTCTTTTTTTTTGCACAAAGAATCTACTTAGAGTGACAATAAATTTAATTCACATTCAATTTAGCCTCCCTTGGCCTTAAAACTTACCTAAAACGTGTGATGAATGATTCAGCTGCAGCTCGCAACTCTTCTTGGAGGATTTCTGCCCAAGATTTCTTCAAGGAGATGAGAGAGGACAAGCTCCTGTGGGGTTTGGAGCATGCCTTCTGCTCTAGTATGGCCCAAGTCAAGAAGTCCATAGAGTTTAAATCTGGTGCGCTGAAGGGCCATTCGTCAGGGCTCACATAACGTCGGGCAAATTGGTTTGGAGTCATTGAATTGTGACTTTGGATGCATGTGAAGATGCAGAATCCTGTTGGAAAGTCCAAGGTTGGTCCCCAAAGGTCTTAGCTGCCCAAGGTTGGGTCACAACTTCCAGAACCTGCCTGCAGTATTACTCCTTGTTCACCTCAACCCTTGGGGCAACAACGTGGATGGGAGTTTTGTGCTCGGCGGTTATCCCAGCCCAAATCATGACAGATTTGAGATTCTGAACATGCTTCCAGAAGCGGCCAGAGTGGTGCTTATTCCGGAGCCAAAACCGATCATTTTGGCGATTGAAAAGCTGAGCTGCAGTAAAGATCTTCTCGTCGGTAAACTGATTTTCCTCCCACCCCTTGCGACCGAACCCCTGGAGTAGCGCTTTCGCAGCCTAGCTTTTGCTGTACAGGGGATAGCAGCTGCACCTTTTGAACCTTGTAAGGCTTCAACTTTAGCCTGTCTTTGGCTATCTTTCGAGCAGATTCGCTGCTAATACTAAGGGTGGAGGCAACAGACCGCATGGAGCGGTTGAGGTTGCGTCTGAGCAGTTGTCGAATACGTTTTCTGACCCTGGGAATATTGACAGTAGCTGGGCGGCCACTCCTGGGGTATTCAAGACTTGTACCAAGCTCCTTGAAGCGTTTCACTACCTTGAAGACATTGGACCGTGGCGCATCGAGCAGACGAACAATTTCTGAAACTGACTTTCCAGATTTGTGGAGTCTAATGATGGCTTCGCGTTGGTATAGCATCCTGAGGTTTTGCACAAGAGAGCTGAAACTTTAGGAGCTGGTGCATGATAACATCGCCTCTGCGCACGCAAAAAATTACATTACTTGATTGACATGGCAGTGAGAAAATTCAATGTCTACAGACTTTATTGTCACCCTGTACACATAATATGCATGCATGAGAGTGCAACTCATACAAGGTACCCACCCTATCTCCCTATCTGCTCTAGAAAGATTATTCCTAACAGAAGGTGGATGCATGACAGATCGACAAGAGCAGGGATCAGACATGGAATGTACTTGCATGAGCAGGGCAAGTTTCAATAGGTCAAAAGGTATGATGAACTATGCATCACAAAGGAACCCGCCTTTCTTTATTCCAACTGGTGCAGCACTATTGGAAAATGCTAATGGGTTTAGAATTACTTTTTCATTCTATCCATTCCAGCCTGCGATTTCTTCTTGCCCTCTCAAAAATGAAACAGGTATATCATTACTAATTTAATCCTTCATGTAATATCTATCCTCTGTCAGTCTAAGATTGCATGATGATGCTGATTGCACATGCCAAGTATGAAGCTCACGTCATGCATTAAGATGCCTCTTTATCTAAACAAAGAAAAACCTCAAATTCAGCACCAACAGTTCTTAACTCTTATTTATGGTCCCTTACCTCCTTTCTTGTGAGAGATCTAGAAGCTGAGATTTAAAAAAAACCTAAAGTTGCACGAGCTTTGATCAAAATACCGCCTATCATTCTCTATCACAATAGCTTCCTCATACAGGATTCATTTCTAGAAGTAAAAAATGGAAAGAGTATACAAAGTAACAACCAGAACATTTGTGCTCTGATCAATTTCATTATCATTTTCACAAGCTGAAAGCGCATGCATGAAGGTGTACACCCACCTAAGAGTAGGCTAGCTGCGAACATAAAAAGCCGAAACAAGCTCACCAATTATGTTACAGAATTTTTTAGCATCCATAAATCTAATCTCAACAAGTAGCTCATATACGCACACTACACGAATATATATCCAGTATTGTTACAGTCCATTAAAATCCATCAAGCGAAGAGTTACTAGCGAGTAAAGAGAAACTTAGGGGAAGGAAATCAAGGGATAATCTCTTATCTTCGTCTATTTAAAATAAGAACCAACGGCAATTTAAATAATACATACTTTGGTAGGGCTATGTGACTGATGCTTCCATGACCCTGCATAGTACAGGTATATGGAAAAGACTCACTAACCCCATGACAAGCATTCCATAAGGTATGCGCAGCATAAAATCTCTTTTTTTCCTAATCGAATAAAAGTGACATGTGAAATTAAAAATTCAACCGAAGAACATCATTTCATCAAGAGAATTCTATTCAGCTAGGTCCTTAAAAAAAATCACAATATACCTTAAATTATAAAATATTTACAAATCATCTACTTCTCATTAACGTAACGTTTAGGAACTATAAAACAATATACGTACTGCCTTTTTGGACATCTCCGCTTGGAGGACGTGGGTGGCATGGAGGGAGGCGATAAGCTTACCGCCCTTGGCGGCAGAAGCGGGCGTGGACAAGGAGGGATTGTTCCTCCTCTTCGTGACCTTGAACCGCTTCTCTTCCCCGAGGAGGAGATTCCCCAGGCTGCTTTTCCCCGCTCCCCCCTCTCCGAGGAGAACGAGGGTACTGGGATGATGGCGTCTGAAACTCATCCTTCCAGCCCCCAAGCTCTTCTTGTTCTCTTCCTTCCGATTCCTTCTAGATAAAGTATGGAAGAATTAAACTGTTGAAGGTCGTCAACCAGTTGGCACTCTTTATAGGTCACACTTCCATTGATCCGAGAAACTTCGGTGTATTGGACGAGTTCCAGTAACGTAATGGCAAAAAAAGTGACTATTCGCACTCCAGCTTCCACATGAAAAATTAATGTTCGTCCAGTCCCAGAGAGGACCACTCCTTAATCCAAAAAGAGCAAAGGTCTCATTTGTCAGACTTTGTCGTTCTTCCTCTCCTCTACCTTCCGCTTTCCAATTTTTTTTTTATTCAGAAAGACAGGGCTTGGACAGGTTATAAGAAATGGCACACAATTAGGGGGTAATGTTGCTTGGTCCTACATGAGACTGGCAACTTTTATTTTTCCATCTCAGAGGTCTAAAGCATGCAACCATGCAATTCCTTAAAGCTATTTAAAATCGCATTTACCCATCTCGCTTGCAGCGAGGAATGCCTCACGGAAAACTCATGAAATGATGTGGTGGATGGATCCTGTAATATTGCGCAAGACGGAAGGAGGAAATCCTCTCTACGACTCCTCACATTACCCTTACCTAACTCAACAAGATCTCGATAGGACTTGCAGAAAACGTTATGAAGAAAAATCTTTTAAAATTATAACTTCGTCTTCCGCAAGAGTGCTTGGGCACGATGACAGCAAAAGCGATAATAGTAATATTATATTCCGTAGAAAATTATATTTCGCCAGGACACGACAAGGCAAAACAAAGAAGAAATTCCGTCGGATGTGCCAGTGATAAGTGACCCACGCCGTCGCGCGATCCCAAGATTCCATTCTATACAAGCACTAACGAGGATCCACGTAAGGGAATCCAACGGATGAAATTGCAGGAAAAAAAATTCCTGGAAAACGAAGAGGAAAAAATGTACATCCGTCCCTTTCTTCCTCTTCCCTAATGCGCAGTATTCTCTTTCATCAAGTCCTTATCCCTCTCCATGAAAGGAGATAGTAGGTTCTCACAATGCGTAAAGGAGGACAACACGTACCAAGATTGCAATAAAAGTGGAAATACAGTGGGTCTGTTAAGTCCTAACACATACAGTCCCAGATTAAGCTACGCAATTGAAACAGGTTCCACATTGATTTTCATTGTTTCAATTATTAGCAAAGGTAGTGTAATTTGATGCACCGAACTCGTCTTTCGAACCTAAGCCTTAAAAATTTGAACTCCATAACCTTTTTTCACCCTTCCTACTGACCTTCCGATAAATGCCTTTAGTTTCATGATATCCGTTTGACGTAAAGAGATTCCAAGGTAAGGTATACGATAATAAAAAATTCCGTTCAGCAAGTTTCTATAATGACAGAAATGGTCGCAACTCGGAAACAAAACATGCTCACGTACGGTTTTGGTGTAATTCAACGAAAGTCTGCTACAAACGGAAATTGGGGGAATTTTTGGGTGATTTTAACGAATGCATCTACAGACATGCATCCAATCCACTTGACGCCGCTTATTGTGATCATATTGGTGCAAGGGTATTTAATAACATTAAGTGGCTGATAATAGGGAGTGAACAACAAAAACCTGAGATTCAGTGCAATGCGATTCGGTAACCGCTGAGACGGGGAGATAAGGACTATTCTCGGCAACACCCGGCGACGGTGATAATATAAAACAGTGACTGCAACTCCAGTCATTCATCACATTTCTGTTTCCGTGCACCCTGAAATGTTTTACACGTGTATTGAAATTTACTGAACTTTTCTTTAAAATGTAAGTGAAATACGGTGCGTTTTGCAGAGAAGATGCTGAAAACCTAATTTTTGTTGCATGACATGTCCTTAACAGGTGTCTCTGCAACAATGACAAAAGTCCAAGAAAATTGCATGACTGAACTTAGGTTTATGCTAGCAGCTTATTTTTTTTTGTAATGCAAGGAATGAACTGAAAATTTCCAGGATATTAGATGCAGATTGAGAATGCATTCAACTACATGCCATTCAATTATGATTCTTAATTGTATCATTCTGGGCCATATACCAAACTCCCTCATATGTGATTAGATGCACCTCACACTGTAAAAAAAAAAAAAAAAATTTGCACCAATAGACTCAAGTATACAAATACATTTAATTATCTAAAACTTGATGCAAATAGGAACCATGAGACCAGATATTACACATGCAAACGTCAGTCTCCTCAAAGGTAGTCTATCCTCAAGAAGGCATAGAGGTCAATTTTCAAAAGGTCATTTTAGCACATTTAATTACTCAATTTTCTCCTACCTTCACACATTCATTTATGAAACCTAGAGCCAACACAGTCTTAAGGGATACTAGGAATATCCATAAGATGATACAGATACATACAGCCTACCGCTAACACCAAAGTTAAACATTCAGTTATGGGATTGCTCTGCAGTCTGCATGAATTTCCTTATGCAGAACCTGAATGAGTGACAAGAATCAGACTGAAACAGTTCATGATTTGCAAATAGAACTATGCAACTTAATCATGTAGTGAGCCAATGACACCCAGATATCAGTCATTCCAACAAAAACTAGAGTGGAGCTGAAATTGCATTAATCACACTGGACTAGTTTATTTAAGAGGAGGAGTTGCTGGTGGCAACATATGTATTCTCATGTGTAGAACAGCATGACATGAATATAAAAAGAAAAACCATAATATGGAGATGTGGTGATGATATAATCAAGAGTCATAAATAAATAATAAAATTTAATGTAAAATATTATCAACTTCCACACCACATTGATATTGAACTTTCACAAGTTCGCATATATCTTAGTCACGCTTGATGTGAAAATGCCTTCTGCAAGTGCTAGGGAAGAGAAACAGTCCTCAAACAAACTTTTATCCTCCTAGTTCCTAGTTATTTAAATGCTCCTGGCCATACCAGAAACAAACACCCCAGAAAAAAACAGTGAGAGAAGGAATATCAAGACATCCCAAGGCCAAATCATCTCTTAGAACGCAGAATATACATACCTAGAATTTCCCCACTCCCCCCTCAATCATGTCAGCTCATTAATACACCCCGAGAAACTATGAATTGTTGTTTTGTCTACAGACAAATAGGGAAAATTTGACATTTCACCCAGTCTCTTTCATATTCTGCAGCACTAAAACCTATTTCAAACATCAGGCTGGAGGAGGAAAGATTAGAGGAGTAAGAAAAGTGAGGCCATGATCACCACAGAATTAATAGAGTTGCTCATCCCCCCTCCTCAATTCAACTCACCAAAACACGGAATTATATGACTCTGTCTTGCAGGCTTAACCATTTATTATTTTACTCTATGTTCAATTTGGTATCAACACTCTTCCTGATGACCCTAACATCTGTCTGAGACATCTGATACTGTTCATGCATATAGTCAAGAGTCTGTGGAAAGGGCATAAAGCTCAGCTCGAAAACCTGCATCCCAGATTGGCCAGTAACGTACTTTGTCACTTAGAAGACCCAGCATACTTTGCTTCAGTTTGCTTTAAATTTCTTCAATTTGATTCAGTTACAGTTCTTTATCTTTCAGTCTATGATCCTCTAAAATGAAAAACCTGATGGAACATAAGTGGAGAAATGTGAAGTGTATTACGCCTACATTAATCTCCAACAGCAGCTAAACTAGTAAAAGCACAACTATGACTAGGCTTTACTTGTTGCAATAACAAAAGGCTATAGGCTTTAGGGTGTAGGCTCAGGCCTACAATATGTGACGATAGCCTATCCACTGTTAGTCTAGCGCTACGGTGTGCCTAGCGTTTGGGCTTAGACCTAACAAACCTAACTACTAACTTTAGGCCTACCCATTACCTGACGAGCCAGAACCTGAAATCAATGCTGCAGCTTAAAATCGTTCACTCAAGCATGTGTCGTTTCCCTGAGAAGACACGTTGCCTCTACGCCGAACAAGTCAATGAACGCCGGCACGCAGAAGCGGAAAGTTCATCAAGTATTTAGCCTAGGATGGGCCCAGTTGGCAAGACTTCCGTTTCACATTAACGTAACCTCCTATCGAAAATAGGTTAAAATTCCTGTCCTCACCTGAAGGTGAAACGAAACCGCAGACGAATGGAGAAAAGTCACGCCGAGACGACGTCGAACGAGCACAGACTAGAACTGCAGACTAAATCGCACGTCGCGTCTCACAATACGCATTTTACGATAAAGTCGACAAGGATGCCGGATCACGTCGTCGAAAGTGCGGCATGGATCAAAGTCACGTGGGACCTAAAACAGGTCACAATGTATATCCGAATTGGTTTAGTGCTTCCCCTATATAGTATTATTCGACTATTGGGATATCTTTCCCCACTTTCAAGAATTTGCTTCGTCCGCCAAAGACGTAATAGTTGGCATCCCCTTTCCAGCCACGTGAGACTCACGTCGATTTGTGGTTGGGAGTTCTGCGGAGTAGGACTCGTCCAGAAAGCACAGGGCTCCGACTCCACTCTCTCGTATACTCGTCTCCAGTTGACTCCGAATTCACGTCATACCCGTTTGAATTAAGCTCGTACGCTTTTTTAGGTTGACTTTTATGAGCTGCATTCTCACATGAACCAACTAACCAAACCTACGTAACTATGTAGCATGCGACCCGAAGAGTTTAAAAATTGTGTTTCGTGGGGAAGCACGAACTCAATTCGAAAAAATACGAAGCTGATTCGAATTCGTTGGAGCAGGAGTGAATGATAATAACGAACTACGCTAGACCCAATACAAGCACGGACCATGATGGGTTTATTTTCAAGTCTGAATCCGAAGGACATCAACCGTAAAGAGGTCCAAGTCTAGACATTCTGAATCACGTTTGATTGCTGTTCGATAGAATATCATTCACAAAATAGCGAGACCGATGTGAATCCGCGGAATTTTTAAGGCAGTCTGCAGTCTCTAATTCCAGCCCTGCCCATCCACAAAAGCAAGGAGTTATGAAGCTTCATTCGAAATTGGTGTTTGGCATGCCAGACAATGTAGGTTAATTCCAGTGAAAGCTCGTATTTAAGCCCAGACTCGAAAGAAGCAGGACTAGGCGTCCCAAAGGCAAACAACACGCATTCAGCGTGCTCCCCGCCTCACTCCAATGAACACGTGCAGAAAATCGCGCACAGTGGCGTAGCGATGAGTTAAGGGGGTGGGGGGGGGGGGTGGGACTAGGGGAACGGAAGCCCCCTAACCGCTTCCGCCCCCCCCCCCCCATAAAAAATAAATCATTTTTAGCTATGTCAGAGGAGAAGCATGAGAAATTCAAGCCCAGCGGCGTAGCGTCGAGGGGCCAGGGGGGCACATGTCCCTCACTTGAAAACAAGAAAGCAAAAGTGTGAAGGAAAAGACGCATGGAACGCATAACAGTGCACTATTTCCATCTACTTATATTCTAGCCCGCCTTTTAATCCAGGCAGCGTCACTGAAAGCACAATCGCGTCCTCGGTGCCTCGTCGACGAGTGTCTTGCATAACGGAAGGCACTTGACGCCGAACGGCACCGTCTGCGTTTCGCAATGTCTTTTGAAACAAGCCGTCTCCGCGGTCTCCCCGCGGGAAAAAGGCGAAAAGGATCTAAATCGACACGATGCGATCGGAGGCCCAACGAGCGGAGAGAGCCTCATCCGGGAATCATTTTTTTAATCACAGTTCACGTTCCACTCGTGCCAAAAAGTTTCTGCAACAGCCTCGCCTCATGGCTTTTTGCAGCTTCGTGAAAGACCAGTCCCACTTCGAAAAGCTGCATCAATAAGGCGTTAAGGCGTCTATTACCTTTCTTCAACCCCTTCCCATAACAAAATTCGACCTCCGCATATTCCTCTCTGAGAGCATCAACAGGAACGAAATTGAGCATGCTTTTTACCTTCTTAACATAGGATCGCTCCAGAAAATCTGAAGCTCCATCTCCCCGAGGTTGCGGAGAACACTGATTTTCATTCCGGTATTTTTCTTTTCTCACCCCATGAGAAGTCACTCCTGGAAAGTTTTCGAAGGAAAGAGACCAACCAAAAGAAAGATTCGTTGATCACTAAAAGTGCCCTTTTTGTTGTTCACGATGCACCATTTCGCATTTAAAAAAAAATTACCTGTCGTTCATTTAGACTTGGCGAGATGGTTCCGGTCCCCTCCGCCAGTGTTGCCGGATATTGTGCTGGAATTATGACTGCTTTAGCCTTCATATCGGTGTCTGGATTTTTTTTTTAATGAATGGAACATTTTCGTACTGAGTTCATGAGATGAACTGAGATTGAAACAGTGGTTAGCAGTGGCCGGTCGACGTATTGGGACATAGAGATACAATACATACAATTTGTATCTCATCCGGGCATCCCTGAATTAACAGAATGGCGCCCAACATGCATTTCATCCAGGGGTCATTCTCTCCTCAGACCTAGTCGAGATGGTTCGAAGAAATCCAGATGGGCCTAACGTTCCACGTCGTCACTGAAATGGCTCATGAAGCTCGAAACAGGCTTCAAATCGGTCTAACGTTACACGTCCTCTCTGAAATGGTTCATGAAAGTCTGAATAGGCCTGCGATCGGCCTAACATTATACGTCTTCGACGAGATGTCTCGAAGAACACGGGATTAATCCATATAAGATTGAGTTTCTTTTGAACGAAAAAAAGGTAGGCCACGGCATGACCTGAAGGCAGTACGTAGGTTAGGCCTAGGCCTAACGTTGGAGAGTCCCGTAGAGAGGGGGGGAGGGGGGGGGCAGGCTGAAGAAATATAAAGCCTTTGAAAAATGGTTTTCACGTTAATTCATTGAACGATGTTTGCTGGTCCTACGTCCACGAACGTCACGTTTTTATTTATTTACGATTCTGCGCAAGAATAATATTTAAAGATGCCTTGATCCGGGCGGTCCAGCCTGATGCACAAATAAGGTCAAGACTCAATCAGTTCATCTGCTGCCATTAATTTAACTGAATCCCATCCCCTTCAAATCAAAATAAATATTATTTCAGGTATTTCCTGGGGGCACGAGAGAACGTTTCGCTTATCATCCAATTTCATTTTGAAAACGTGACGTGACGTAGCAGTTCTCTTGAACGAAGGGGCATTTGAAAGTGATTCACATTATCGTTGGTTAAGATTAGAATTTGATTCAATTCCTCATTAGGATTTCATTCAAATTCTATTTGGGATTCGCAGTCACTGATTACGGACATTTAATGCCAAAATTTGGCGAAAAAATGTCAAAATATTAGTAATGCCACCAGAAAGGTCTGATTCGGAGTTTTCCTCGACCCGGATGCGAATCCTCCGCCACCGCCAGTGGAGTCGAAAATTGGCAAACCGCACGTGCAAATTGTCGTCTTGCTCCGAATCCTCCTCGCCATTATGAACGGATGGAAGGCCTCGCGGAATGAGGGGAGAAAAAGGCGATTCACTGGGTCTACGGAGTTTTATTCGAACCAGCTCCACCCAATCACCCTACAGAATCAACTCTCTCTTTCCACGATTCACTAGATTCCTCGGAGAATTGCCGACCGAAGCGTGGACAACGGAGGCAGGCAGCAGAAGCGGAGAAAGGCGAAAAGGACTTCGAACGAGAAAAGCGGAAGAACACGTCTAAAACATAAAAAAGGGTGCAAGTGCCTCCTCTGTCCACGATTCGGGATATTCTATCGCATAAAAAAGGTTTTTTTTTTTGGAACTGACAAAATTTCTCTCCTAGCTGCATTCACGCCGTCGTTCCTGTCCGAAGAGAGTTCCCCCCGTGAAGAGTTTTTAGGGCGATCCCCGAAGGCAATTTGGTGAGAATGATATAGGGAACAGTCTTGCGGACAGGCAACGAAACATTCATCCACTGCTGATGTTCCATTTCCCTCGATCCGACAGAGAACCGACAAAAAAACCGACTGTGACTGCGTTCCGCCCAGTCGACGCACACGATGAAATCTGATATGGATGCAGGATTAGGGAAAAGATCAAGAATCCATCCTATGAATAACAGTCATAGATATTGCACCGACATCCATTCTCACATGAAAACACTAGAATATGAGATCTGGCAAAAACAAATTTACGCACGAAGATATCACATTCAACAAATCATTGAACAATGTGCTGAGCATAGCAAATATATTATTCTCAGTGTACATACGGAACAACACGCGAGAAAAGCCAAGTCACGATAGATGCCTTAAAAAAAAAAAGCAAAAACCGCATAACAAAATGGAATCGAATAGTGCGAGAGGAATGAAGGGCAAAGGACAGAAGCATCGTGCTCGAATGCCCTATGAAGAGTGAGAGAAAACGCTTTTTCTTTGGTCTGTCCAGGCTGAGATCCCAGCTGGGGCTGGCCTCACAGTCAACAACGATCGAGATAATTGATAACAACCATATCTGTAGATATAGATTGGTGAATAACACATCGGGGGAAATTTCACCGGCCGATTCCCTAAAGGACACCTACGGGGAATGAGATCCGTCTCCGTTAAAACCGATCCCGATCCCGAGATCGGATTCATTCGCCTACGCGACCGGTATTCACAAGTAACCTTTCGAAGAGAGATGCACTTGAAGAAACCTTGGAACGACTTGGGAACAGACTCTAGCACGTGGGGAGACTAGAATTGGAGTCCGACGGCACCCCGGCGTTTCGAGTCATGCTTTCTCACTGCACTCGGGGGGTCGCATCGTGACGATAGGCCTATACATGCGGCGATACGCATCACCCCAACCGTCTCCTTCTTCCCCCCGTCCTGGCAAACAGAAGAGACGAGATTCAAAAGACACGACGAAACTCCGCATCACCGCTATTCCCAATCCAGAACACCATTCGATTCCTCCCAGCAGAAAAGCGTCCCTCGATACCGCTCGTCCACCTCCTCCCTAAACCAACCCGAACCCGTTCCCTACCTGATCGAAAGGGATGAAGGGGCCAGGACGACGGGGGATGACGTTTAGTCCTTCTTGTCGTCTTCGGGCTCCTTGAGCGTATGCCATTGGGCGATGGGTCGACGCGGGGAGGCGAGCATGTCCGACCAGTGACGCAGCTCCGTGCCCGTGGCGTTGCATCCCAGCACTATCTTCCCGATCGGCTCCGACGTCCCGATCCGATCGTAATCCACCACCGTCACCACCAGGTTCACTTTCTGCGACGGGAATACGGGATTTTCCGTGGAAATGCAACATTTTCGGCGGGAATACTGTCGTAGCTGGCATCGTGAAGGGCAAAGCAACGTCTTAGGCCGAAATCTTAATAACATCCATTCCACTTAACAGAGAAGGAATTCCTTCCCTTTAAATCTTATTACATTGTTTCCTCCAGACTCAAAAACTTCCTCAATTAGGCTGAAATTCCTCTCGTGAGCTCTTTCCAACTCCGTAAGAGGATCTTATCGTGCGCGACGGAAATTCTGCCTTCCTGTTGCCGTTGTGGGGAAAAAAACGAACCGGAAGTCACCCACTAAAACTGTATTCATCATGGAAACTCTGCAATTCCTTCAAGGAAAGAACTTCGTGGATTCCGCTTTGAAGTTGGAAATGAAAAAAAAAAATCTGATTCCTTCGCCTTTCAAAGTTTGGCCTCTAAAATAAATTAAGGTTGAACCCATCAAGGCTAACTAACAGGCTAACAACTTTCTTTTAACCCTACTCACAAGGTGCAATGCACCAGACATGTTTAACTTAATCAGATCTCACCATGGTCCTTCATAAAAATCGGTTTAACGAAAATAATATTCTTCCCATTAGACCAGAGCAAAGTTGAATGGATCTGGTGTATGTCACCCGTAATCAACTACGATTTCTTTCCTAATCCTTATTTTAAAGCAATCCAGCACTAAATCGGATCGCAAAAGGATCAAAGCTTGAAATAAAACTCCCGCATCCTGCTTCTCCGTCAAATTTTCATTTGATGAGATTTCTCATCGCCTCCTCCCATGAAAGAAGGAAAACACCCGGCAAAGAACGCCTCAATATCCGAGCTTTAAGAGGGGCACACTAGAAATTCAACTACCGAGGAGAGAAACCAGATCAAAGTCGAGAAATGACGACGAGGAATGAAAGAGCCTGCGATGAGAAAATCGGCAAAAGCCATCAAGACACTTGACAACGCGTGCTGAACTCATCTGGCAATTTCCTGTGAGAAATCGACGTATCCGGTAATATGATTATAGTAAGCTCCATACAAATCCACAACTCCCGATTCAACAGGGATAAGGGAACTAGTTCTCATTCCGCAGTTCGATAAAACAATTTCTGCTTCCCATCAGTTGCCGGGAGGGAAATCTGTCGTTCCTGCCCCCCCCTCTTCCTCCTAGACTGGAGAAGATTGAATCGCCCACATGATACGAGACGAGAAGAGACACAATGACGCTTTTTGATTACGCCGTCAATGCCACTGCATTATGCATGAAAGGTTAATGAAATTGCGGGCGACAAAGGACGCAGGAAAGGCAGACAAAAGGAAGACAGACATATTTTCTCACCTGGATCTGCTCGAAGGGAACTTCGAAGGTGAAGGACTCGTTATAGTAAGGGTTCAGCGTGCACTTCTTGATGCTCGTCTTCTTCTTCTTCAGCCGCTTCCCGTTCATCATCAGCGCAATCTTCACGTACGGATCTGCAGCCACAACCCCATCATCAAACCGTCGCTTGAAAACAAAAAATGCGACGGAAACTGTCGCAAGTCCCACCTGAAAGGCCGCCGACGTCCATCTTCTTAAGATTCTTGGCCTCGAGGACGACGACGGTGAGTTTCCCGGCCGTTGGCACGTATCGCAAGGAAAAGCAGATGTCTCCCAACTTGTTGTCCTGTTCCCCCCCGAAATTCCACAGCGATTTCATTAAAAGTTTCTTATCGTTTCCGAGATAGTCGTGACTCCTTCTTCTCTCGTCTCTCATTCACTTACTCTTCCAAACGTCATAAAAAAACTACCTAAGACATCCAACTTACGGTATGTATATCAGATATACCTATACGCTACAATTCTACTCATCCTAATGATATAATTCTGATATCACACCATCTGGCTAAAGAAAACAACAGAAATACAATATGTGAGACAGAACCTGTCTAGATCGTCCGCTTCATCATCCAAACTCGCTACCATCTACTTTATACTTCACTATATGCTTATACTAGTGGCTAGCACCATACTAGCACCATCCTAGAGCATAAAAACACCGATTACCAAGAGCGAACCTGCAGTTATCAATACAATGCTGACGTTAATGTGACCGAGCTGGGATTCAAGCCTGGATCTCACAAGCCGACGGTGATATGCCGAAGTATATTATGAGTAAATACATATGTATAAATGGTCTGGAATATTTGTTTAAGGGTGGGAACGAACGCGAAAATCCTCCTAATGTCTTCGTTGTCTCCTACACAACAATTACTTGGTCAATATGTACCATCAACCTACGCCAAACAGTTTGAACAGGCAGGGCCTGTAACTTTGGCACGATTATATATTAGGAAGGCGGTTGTGAACCTGCTCATCCCCTCGACGAACCAGGTTGCCCGGCGTCTGTCGTGATGCGATCAAGGCGAGGTAGCCATAAAGCAGGAGAGAGCAATTTCATCCGACGTGCATTGAAGACGACTGGAATTCCAACTCGAAAGGTCGTTTCCTCAATGTTGTTGGGGCAATGATTTGGCTGCTTCCTGGCTACGGGCAATATCTGCGTTTGCCTACTCGAATCGCTTTAATTAAAGGGCGGCGAGCAAAGAGCGCATTCCGAATTGAATTGAATCGAGGGAAGCTTGGGCAAAGACCTCGGCATATGAAAAGGACAGGGGGGAAATCTTGGACGAGCCCTGTCTACTCTATCTGGGGCTCGTATGATCGCTCATTTTTTCTCCATGAAGAATTTATTTTGATTAATCGTTAGTTCCTGATTTATTTATGCTATGTCGTGATTCGTTTCAAGATGAGTTCGGACTCATGTACGACCAGTACTTCTTTCTACAGAGGAATGGGAAGCCCTAGTGAAGCCCTATATCATGAAGGACAAGGTACATAATTTCCCCATCATGGTCGCTGAGGTTTCTTCTGACGGGACACAAAGAAATCTCATCAATGACGAGGGCAGACGCAAGGGTTCCCAACAAAGGACGGAATGGATGTGGATCCCTCTCGACACGAGATGGGGCAGTACTTAGGGTTCGCAAACCGATGAAAAGCCACAACGTTTTTTTTTGCGCTTCATTCTCGAACTAGCTTGCGGAGAAGCCGACGTAAAAAATAAAATGTAAAATTTTTAAGCAAAATCAATTACAGCAGGAGGCTAGAACGAGTACTGGATTGACGTTCATTCCAGAAACCCCTTCACTCCCTTCCCACAAGATGCCACTAGGGGGTAATAGAGATCTCGGCCTCATCTGCACGCTATTGTTGAGAGAATGGACTGGACAGCTCATCCTTCTTCCTCTCTGCCTTGCGTCCACTTCCGAATTCCACTCCCCAACTATGTAATCCCCGAGAGGATGCAAGACAGAAAAGGACTCGGCTCCAGGGTCGTTGCCCGACTTCGCATTCGCGTGAACAACAACCCCCCCCCCCCCCCCTCCTCCCTCTCCCTTCCTTCCCCCCAGAGTGCATGAAGTTCTCCCGCGAGAAAGACTCGACGGTTCAGTGCTGGACACGCCGGGTGTCCCCCAGCGGCTCCCCCAATTCAACAGCAGATGCCGTCTACAATACTCTAATCTACAGTCTCTAAACTCACACGGTCTAGACACTCCTGGTTCCTTCTATGGCGATGGTCTCATCGATTATACGCAGGGTGGTAATAGAAAAGGTGTCCACGCGATACGAAAAGCGCAAGTAGGAACCATTTACCATTTACCGGGCTTTTAACCCGCTGCACGAAATAAAAATCTCCATCCTGCAGCGCACTCGACGTGTCCACCTCTCTCTATACCACCCTGCCCAAAACCTCGACTTACTAAGTTGCCCATGCACGTGACTGGAGCGGACGACTCTCCGGTAGGAAACACGGATTCGAACGAGCATCGAAAAACTTACACGGAAGGGGATTCGTCCGCCACAGGGTCCACGGGACGGGATTTCGGGCGAGAGAAAGCATACAATCATGAAAATCATACTTCTCCCGACTTCATAAGCTTATTCGCGCGCGCTCAAGGAGGGGATTCGATGCAAGTATTCCATCGTATCTATAAATACTTAAAATAAATAAGAATGAGAATGATTTATATTGGTTTCTGACCTGTCCGCCCTCTCCCTCGACGCTCTGGAGATCCTTCCATTCCTCGATGGTCTGGGCGAGATCGATCTGGCACAAGGCCACTTTCACTTCCCCGATCTGGTCGTGCTTTGAGAAACGGTCAAAGTCGAAGATGGCGAATACCAGCGTCTTTCCAACTATCTCGGAGTACGGGACTTGCTATTAAGAGCGAGAAAGAAAAAAAAAAAACCTGTTGAAAGAATGCACGCAAGCCTCCTTCATCTGAGCCGTGGCGACCACGTGGAAATCCCTTCATCGGAGGGGTTCCACCAAATGGAAAATGGAGTTAAATTGACCCTGCAACTTTAATGAGATCCCCTTTCAAAAACCTGTCGTGTAGGTAAAGCCTGGAGCCGACGTGTTCAATCGGCAGCAACGTCGCCATGGAGACAAAGTCCCCAAGCGGCATTTCACTTCTACGAAGCGAGGCAACTCGCACTGGAAAAAGAAGCAAATGAGGCAAAAAAAAAAAACCTTAAAGGAAAAGGGAGTCATCGGTCGATGAAGCTCCTTCGGCGAGATGGAAATTGGAAATTTTGACCCAAATTTTTTTTTCTCAATCCTCATAAAAATTCAGACGGAATTAGAAATTGGTTTCAGATGGAAATGTAAGCAATCTCCATTTGGTCCTTGTTCTAAATCCTACACCCGGCTGAAACAAATAGAATTTTCACCATATTCGACAAGCCGAAAAATTATTAATATTTCCTTCCCAACTGGTACGTTTTTACCTATTGTCCTAAATCCCAGTTGGATCCAGCTGGTTGGGTTTCTCGTATTTCTTATCTGCCTGTGTTCAAATTGGAAGCGACTGGATCCAGTCAGTTCCAGCAAGGTCCATATAAATATAAGTTGGAATCATCCGATAATTTTTTCCTGGGAAGGCGGTTCGGTTGTGACTGAAAACCGCGCAATCGACGACGATCCCTACCTTGAATTGAAAGGTCTCGTTGAAGACAGGATTCAGCGTCTTGCGGTGCACCTTCGTTTCGAATTTCTTCTTCTTGTCCGGCAGGAGGTAGACCTGTTGAACGACCGAATGGATTTCAGGAACGGCAAAAACCTCGCCGAGAAAATAAATGGCAGTCGGATCATTGCACTTGAGGGCCAAAAGGGCAACTGTCGACTCCTCGGGATCGAAAATAAAAATTCGCGGACCCCCAAGCACAAAGGCCATCCGTAAAACACGCCACCGATAATGGACGACATGCACGAGATCGATTCAACGATCGAGTTGATTGCTCCGGTTCCTAAGAGACCCATTTGCCCGATGCTACCTGAATTGCACCCTGAATTGCCAATTGTCAATTCCGTCCGAATCGACCAACTGCATGTCGCCCAAGACGAGTAAAAAGGACTCCAGACCTTGACGTAAGGGTCGGATGTGCCGCCCATGTCGAGGGCAGGCAAATCCTCCGCCTGCATCACCGTCACGCTCAACGTGTTCTGATTGAAGTCGTACTCCAGCTGCATTCGGGGCGGGAGAAAATAGATGGGGAAGGGAATATATATACCTTCTAATTTTTCTTTTCTCTTATCTCGTGTCTGCATAACGCGTGGAAAGAGCTCCATGCGTTCTCTTTTTTTTTCTCACCCGGTATTGGAGTCGGCCAAGATTCTTCGCCTCGGTTTTTTCTTCTTTCTCCTCCTCTTCCATATGCTCTGTCAGCTCCTGAGTGTCTGGTTGAACCTGCGTGCATTCAAGAATATCCCGTGGACTCGAGCAACCTCACGTTCGTTCGAATAGGCAGGGCGAATCAAGCCAAGAAAAACACACGCTGAATGAAATTGAAAAAAAAAAGCCTTTCGGAAATATTTTTTGCGCCTCGTATCTTAATGTCATCGACGTTGTGCAAAAATTCAGATATCATCTATAATAAAAAGAAAAACGATAGACGAATCCTGCAAACGATCAGGACTATATTTTGATACAAGAAAATGCGAATTTGACTCATTCAAGCACCGTTTTTTCGTAATTATTTCACTCACGCGCAAAAATTTATCTCCGTATTTATTATCCCCTTGATCATATCTAAAAACGCAAAGCTCCTCGAAGAACGCCAAAAAAGAATAACCTTGTCCTTGTAAGCGTTGCCGAGAAGCTGCACGGACTTGATGTCCACGGCCGCCTTCCCCTTCTTCGCATCCTTCCCCCGCCGCTTCCTGAAGAACCTCCGGATGCAGCAGAAGCAGCAGCTCAGCGTCAGTATGCACACCACTGCAAGGGGGGAACGGATGAGGGAGTCACAGAGGAGGGAGTCGCGGAGGAGGGCTCCATGCAACAGGGGCCAGCTGACAAGTCCTCGTGTTGAACTTTGGCATTTTTCATCGTGCTATGTTGTGGTAGAGGCCTATGGACGTGATTCCGTGAATGTATGATCATCATCCTCGCGATGCCCTTAAATGCCTTCCCCTTTCCAGGAACTGAACTCCAGATATACAGGACGGTGCTATTCACGAGCAACATATGCTCGCAGCTGGTTTCTGATAATTCTTCGTATACATTTTACGCGCTACGTGATGTGAGCATACTGTGAGTACTCATTGTCGTTTGAGTCTTCTCCACCTAAAGGCAGGGTCTAAGTCGGAATATTCTCGAGTCCATCGTCAAATTGATACAATCATTTTTCTCTCGATTATAAGTAGATAATTAATATTCCACAATCCACTAACTTTCTCATCGTTAGCTTAATTTTACCTCATGATTGTGCGTTCCAGTTTGTCAAGGATGCAGATTCGTATTGCGAATCCTGAAATACTTTTTGGCAGATCCTATGAAAAACGAGGTGTAAACGGATGCCCTAGCAACCAGCAGCGAAGTGCGGGGTTTGGCCCAGTTTCTAAGAATGTAGGTCACGAGAACTCATACTCATTAGCTCTCTTGTTTTCCTCTTATTCATTTAAGGATGGGAGAAAGAGAAGGAGAAAGAGTACGAGAGAGAGAGAGAGAGAGCGTGTCCTCACAGAGGAAGATGGCGACGATGCCCCAGGTGGGAATTCCCATCTTCTTCGCAATGGTCCCAACGGCTTCCTGCATCTGTTCCTTCGTGGACTGAGTGGGCACCACCGGCTCGGGCGGAGCGGTGGTCGCCACCGCGAGGGTGGGCGGGGCGACGGACGCCCCCGGCGGCTCCTGGGTCACGGGGCCATCGCCCGTTGCTCGACGCAGCCTCGGATGCACTGCCTCTTCTATCCAAGGCATCTCCGACACTGCTGCTGGCTCGACTTAACGGGGAGAAAAATATTCGCGACTGTTCGATAACAATAGAAGCGATTCCTTGTTACCCCACAAAAGGAAGGATTATCACACTCATAATTCATACTGAATGTGAATTCAAAGGAAAGTAGGGAAGCGGCACCAGTTAGCGAACGAGGGTCATGAATGTGATTTGGCCGTTTGTTACTCTAGTTTCACAATCCATCCAAAGCATTAACTAATCAATAAATCCATTTTCTGCAGATACCAAAAGCTGGAGCGTGTAACTCGAGAAACAAAGGCCAAATCGCATTTCATGACCTTCGTTCGCTAACTGGCTCCCTGTTCGCGAACTGGTGTTGCTCCCCTAGTGCATAATTGAGCGTCTGCTTGAGGGTATTTTGAAGTATATTTCGGGGAAAGTTGCGGAGATTGCATTCATATAAGCTTAGTAGGAGCACACTCTTTGCTCTCTCCCAGCCGTTGAAAAAAAAGCAGCAAAAATATTAGTCTCGACTCATCGACTACGGTGTGGATTCCTTACGTTCTCTCATTAGCATTTTTTCAATGTGCAGTGGAGTTTTTTCGCAAGACTTCCACGCCACGCAGAGAATACACGAGATCAGTCGATGATCTTGAGACTTTCCGGCAAATAGAATGCCATTGCCGTCCTTCATGCAGTATCTAAACTGAAATAAGACCTCTTTCCGGTGTCGGAAGTTCGTCCTGTCGAGTCTCCTATCTTCAGGAAACAGGGCCGGAAGATGGACTCCTCCCTCCCCCCCATTTAAGGTCAGGCTCATCGCACAAAGTCGAAATTCGTTTATTCTCTGAGCAGGAGCCACGATGAAGGTTCTGTGTCCATTCTTCGCCCTCTTGTGCCTGGTGAGGTGCCAAAACCAGTGCACCGATGAGACGACGAGTCAAGTGATTCAGGAAGTGGACAGTTGCATCAGCGCGACGCCCCGAGACCTGAGCAAAGGGTATCTCTGCGTGGATCCGAAGGATTGCCAAGCGGAGTGGATCTGCCCCGACCTCGAGAAAGGGTTGGAGTGCATGGAAGACGTTATCTCAACCTGCCCACAGCCTCATTTCCATCAGCTTCGGGAGGCGCTGAAAGAAGGAAACCTGACTCTGTGTGCCGACGGCGATGACCTAAAGCCTCCCTGCGGACGGATGGTCGTGGACGTCCTGCTCTGCCTGAGAAATATGACCAACGTGTTCCGTCTTAGCACCCTCCTCGAGGAAGACGGATTTACGGATTTCTGTGATCAGTTTCTGATGGTCGAGGTCAACTGCCTCATTCCGAACCAGCCTGCAGACAAGCCCCAATGCGAAGAGACCTACAAAGTTCTCGAGAGAGCGCTGACGCGATTCGGCAACAAACTCTGCCCCGACACTGAGACAAATGCCGGTTCCCACCTCGACGCCTCCATCGAATTCCTTCTTACACTGCTATTGGCCATCTTCGTTCAATAAAGACCTGTATTCCGGCTCATTTTTTGCTGTCGCTCTTCCTTATCTTTTTTTTTGTAGTTTGATTCTCGATATTCCATTTATATCCAACACTTTAAGTTACTACTCACAACCATTACTACTCAATTATGTCGTAAGTTGTTTTCCCATTTTAGCTAATTTCTTAAAACAGTAGCATTCCAGCCACATTCGGACGACTCTCGGCACCGCGCATCACCTGAGTCAATCCCATTTACTTCCAGTCCACTTTTTGCCAAGACAATTTTCATCGCACGAGTGAGTAGAGAGCTCGAATCCCACGGCACTTAGCATCGGGCAAGAGGCTGGATCGCCCTTCCGTGACTCACGAGCCTCGCGAGTGAATCCGAGCACGAGCCAGCGACGAAACGGCCTCTGACGGATGCAGATCGATATCGAATTCCTCGAATGGGAAGCGGAATCTTGTTATTGCGACCCGGAATGAAAAAACATCCGAAAATGCAACACTTCTGTCCACGACGAGAAGCACAAAGAACGATGCGATATATTTCAAAAGCAGTCGTCTTCTCCCCGTTGCCATGGCAACCAGGGGATGCGGATGCTCAGACCTTCTGTCGGAATTCACCTCAAAGCGAAACCCGTCGAGGCGGGCGAGGCGATGCGAAGACCGATCAGACCAAGACAGATGAGAGGGCCTTTTTGTCTCCCATCCGCGGATCGATGGACCCAAAAGTCGATCTCTCGTCGGCCCCTCCCGAGGATTTTCGGTCTCCTCCGACCCTCGGCGAAACGAAAGCCCCGAAAGCCCCGAAAGGCGAGTACGACGATGAATCCGGGTACGTCAGGCCCCCCATCGTCATCATCGATCGACACGATTGAGTCTCGCCCCTTTCCTAGGCCTCTTTGTTGACTCAGTCTCCTCATTTGCACTTTATGGTTGACATGGAGCATTATCGAGTGCGCCGCTATTTCGCAATTGTTTATGCGCTTGTGCCGGAAAGGTCATCGGGATGAGTCCCGACTTTCTTACGTGCGGATGAATGTTAAAGAAAAAAAAAAAAGGCCTTACCTCATCTGAGCGACGGCTGAGGTTCGAGACAAGCGCCCCACAACATGTTATTGACGCGAATGACGCACTTGAACAACGTGAGGATCCCCAGGATGAAAGTGCGGGGATTCTGACTGCCTCCATTTACTTTATGAGCTCATAACGTTAAAAAGTTTCTTCCCCCCCCCCCGCCTTTCAGCTCGTAAAATGCGCCGCTCTTACCTGGTTTGTATCAGGTGGAAGCCCGGAACCTCGAATGGCGATTCTTCGTCACCAATTTGGCGGGATGATCCTTATGGCATGACGAACGGAGGGTATGGCGAAGAAAATGTGGGCGCGATTCACAGATGGAGAGGGATGAAGGGAGGAGAGCGGGGAGCGAGTGAGTCAAGATGGCGGTCGTCTTGGGGAATCGATAGGGCCGCCTGAGTCCTTCGCGCATGCGCATTGGGTTTCGCTCCTTCGCCGCTCCGGCCTTGGGTTGCCTCCGTTTTCGTCTGTCTGTCGGTCCGCTTTGTCGTGCCGCTGGGGGGCCGGCCGGGACAAGGGGGAAATCGGTTCGAGAGGAGGACTTGTAGTTGCCTTCCGTGCGTTCTGGAGGTTTGTCCAGTCGTCCCTAGATGTCTCTCGAGGGGGGAGGGAGGCCTTGTCCGCAGTAATGCGCGTTTCGAGGAGAGGGTTGAAGCTAGGGAGCCGACCCGTCTCCATTGTTCTGTCGAGTCTCGTTCTTCGAATTTATTGCCCCCAGGATTAGAATTTTCGATTGAACTTCGTCGAAGTGAAGACGAAAAAGAGTGCCACTCAAGGTTCGCAAGGTCCATCGATTACAGAACGATGAGCAGGAAGTTTGCACGAAGAATGGGGTCGCCTATCATCAACAAGAGCAAACTTTAGATTCACCTTGAGTAAACACCGTCGGTATAATCGTGGCGATGTGGACTCCGTTCTCCCAAAGGTTCTTCTTCAAATAAGTATACGTTTATTTTTATTGGATGGCAAAGTTTTTAATGACAGGAAAACTCGATGCGTCGCACTCTGGAGATGGATTCTTTTAAAATCAGGATTCCTTTTGATTTATTCCTAAGGATT